CTATAGCCATTGCAGCATCTCTAGATTATTAAAAAGAACTATTATTTATCATCATTATTTCTCACTTTTTTCCTTTCTCTACAGCAATATCAAGAGCATTAAGACCATCTTCATCACGTTTCTTAACATTAGTATTCTTTTGCTTCAGCAGTAGTTCAACTATTTCTGTATGTCCTTTTATACAGGCACTATGAAGTGCTGTATGCTACATGATAATAATAATACAGCTAAGACAAAAATTAAAAAAAGATTAAGTAGAATTTACTTATCAAAAAACAATGGCAAGTAGGATTCCAAACAACTTTCTACCCTTATACCAATTCAATGGACAATGGCTGCCATTTCAAGCAAACATTAGCTCTTTAATTGCCTTGAAGCAATTATTATTAGTGTTATCTTTTTTCCCTGTTCTTGCTTTCTCTTTTAATAAAAATAACTATGTCACTTACACTGTCTTTATCAGTGACATTGACATTAACTCGATCATGCTTCAGCAGTAGTTCAACTATTTCTGTATGTCCTTCTATACAGGCACTATGAAGTGCTGTATGCTACATAGTAATAATAACATTAATTAATAATAATAATAATAATAATAATAATAATAATAATAATAATAATAATAATAATAATAATAATAATAATAATTATTATTATTATAGCAAATAATTCTTACTTTTTTGCCATTAGTGTGATTAATATTAGCTCTTTCAGGCCGCTCTTTTGCACTGGTCATACGCTACCATAATAATAATAATAATAATAATAATAATTATTATTATTATTATTATTTTAATAAATTACATTTTTAGCAGTAGCGTCACTAATTGTAGCTATATCCTGCTTCAGTAGTAGTTCAACTATTTGTGTATGTCCTTTTATACAGGCAATACCAAGTGGTATATTCTAAATAATAATAATAATAATTATAATACTACTACTAACAGCAACAATAATAATAATACATGTGTGTCAATACTATTTCTCTTACTCCATTGCTATCAGTGACATTGACATTAGCTCCATGCTTCAGTAGTAGTTTAACTATTTGTGTATGTCCTTTTTTACAGGCAATACCAAGTGGTGTACGCTACATAATAATAATGATAATGATAATAATAATAATAATAATAATAATAATAATAATAATAATAACTGATAATAATGATGATGATGATATTATTATTTTATTATTCGAAATATGGCAATGAAATCTAGGAAATTATAATGACAACAGGACATTGACAGTAAATGATGATAATAATAGTAATAATAATAATAATACTACTACTACTACTAATGATAATAATAATAATAATAATACATGTCAATACTATTTCCCTTACTTTTTTATTATTAGTGACATTTAGATCAGCTCCATGCTTCAGTAGTAGTTCAGCTATTTCTGTATGTCCTTTTTCAGAGGCAATACCAAGTGGTGTACACTAATGTAATAATAACAAATAATTTTAATGCATTAATGATCATACATTTTGTTTATCAGTGACATTAGGATTAGCTTTATGCTTCAGTAGTATATCAACTACTTCTTTACGTCCTCCAATACAGGCCACAGCAAGTGGTGTATTCTACATAATAGGAATAATGATGATAATGTTCTCTAGCTTATTTGTGTTAGACTTTGTTTTTAATTGTTTGTTTTTTTTCCTTTCTGCATTGTGCATGTTTTGGTATAGGTGCTTTTCATGCAGCCTGTCATTTATCTTTGTGTTAATAACTATTCATCATTCATTATTACTTTATTTCTCTTTATTATTATCATATTATTATAATAAGAACAAGTCAGCCTTCATTAAAGCACAACACGATACCCATTCTCAAATATACACTGAAGTCATTGATAACTCTGACCCTGTTTCCAAGAGGTTTCTATCAAGGAATAGGGATTCACTATCTGCATGGCTGACTGCTACCCCTATTTTGAAGGATGATTTTCATTTGTCTGCTGCCAAATTTTGTGATGCATTGTGTTTGGGATACATGAAACCCTTTCTTCCTTGCCTTCTTTAGCTTCCACCTCACTGTGATGATTGTGGTGATGTATTTACTACTTCGCATGCACTAGACTATACAAGGAGTGGACTGGTCATATACAGACATAACAAGATTTGTGATCTACTGTTTTCTCTCTCATCCTTGGTGTGGACACAAACAGTGAAGGAGCCCATTGTGAAAGATGGCACCTCCTCTAACCCACCATCTGATTCATTGATAGCTGATTTGGGTGCAAGAGGAGTCTGGCAGCCTCAAACAACAGTGCTATTTGACATCAGAATAGTTGATACAGATACTCTTTCTTACCTTACCAAGTCCCCTGAGGCTGTTTTAAAGAGTGCTGAGAGAGAGAGAGAAGAAAACTAAATATATAGTACCACGTGTGAAGACTATCATGCCAGCTTCACTCCCCTATGCATATCAGTTGATGGTCTTGTTGGGGCTGAGATGAAGATTTTGCTCAGAGTTCAGCTTAGATCAGAAGCTGTTAGTGAAGTGGGGCAGACCATTCAGCTCCACACTATACTGGATCAGAGCTAAGCTGTCATTTTTCCTCATATGTGCCGAGGCTACAAACATGTGCATTAGAGGCTTGACATCAAAGTGGAGGGGTATTGGTATTGAAGATGGCTATGGCATCAATGACTTATTATCTAACTACTCCTTTGTTCTGAACTTCTCATTACTCTGTATACTCTCTTAATTTTATTACTGCCACTAAGTATTTAATCCTAGCTTTATTCTAAATCTTTGTTCCTTTTTGTTCATGTTCCCTTCTCACACACTCTCTCTCCTTTCTTTCTTTCCTCATTATTACTGGTACTTGTTGTTATTTTTCTTCCTTATCTGTATCTTTAACCTATTTGGAGGTTTGATATTGCGTAATACTTATTCTTTTGTTGATCAATAATAATAACAAAAGCAAATCATGTTAATGTCTACCCTTTTGTTCATCAGTAGCATTGATATCAGCTCCATGCTTCTGTAGTACTTCAATTATTTCTGCATGTCCTCCTATACAGGCCATAACAAGTGGTGTATGCTACATAATAATAATGATAATAATAATAATAATAAATTGATTCTTGGTTTTCTAAAATTTATTTTTTCTTTCTCCTACTCTCTTTCTCTATATGTAATAACTTAACCTACATTTGTTGTGTCTGTTTTTTTAAACTTATTACTGGTTTGCTTATAATAATAATTACTGCATCACTTACTTTTTGTTCATTAATGTGATTGACATCAGCTTGATAGTTCAATAACAGTTCAACTACTTTTTTATGTCCTCCTATACAAGCCATACCAAGTGGTGTATCCTACAGGACAATAACATTGACATTGGATAGAGGTTTATTTTTAGCTTGAAAGAGAATTGCACTAGTTTCAATGATTTTGTAATTTGGGACGAAGCCTACAGGCCATGATTGAATTACCCCACATGCAAACCATGTACATGTATATGGTCAATTTACACTGTGCTTGATGCTTTAAAGCATCAAGCACAAACTCTTTCTGACTCTAGAGAAGTCTCTTTTCTTGCTTTAAAGCCACTGTTGTCTTGCTGTAGTCACACCAGAAGTGCTGTAAAATAAATGGTAACGATCACAACAGAAAATTTCAATTCTGAAATTTTGATGCATGCTACCATTTTGTTTTTTACGGCAGTTCTGGTCACAATGCAATGCACAAAAAACAAGTCAGAGAGAGTTTCTATTTGTCTTAGTAAAAATTATGCATACAACAAAGTGAAATTAAATTCGTATTTACACTAGAAGTTCCACAAAGCCACAAAAATTAAATGCAATGAAACTGCA